TTGCGTACTCTATCTCGTACTAATAAGTACATTGAGTGAGCCCTGTGGCCCAGTGTCTTAGACGCTGGCTCACTAACAAGAAAATTCCTCGCCGGAATTTTCCAGCGTGGTTTACTCTTGTCAGTGGTGCAGGACAGGGGATCTGGTAAGTAACATTGTATAGTTGTTCGGATGGTACGATGCTGGAATCTCGCTTCCTTGTAACTTTGTAAAATACTTAAAGCGAGGATTTCATATTTTCTAAGAAAGTCAAAACATAATTATTTCTATGTCTTTGCGCTCAATAGGTTATCAACTCACTATTATACGATCATGGGCATTATTTCTCACCCTTAAAAATCATTGAAACAGGAAATAATAACACAATTACCTCCCTTGTTTTCCTACTACCTTCATGGAATAGCTATGTTCAAACGTTTGAATTTGAAGCTGAAAATGATATTTTTGCCAATTTCTCAGCTGGCAATAGTGAATTATAGGATTAATAGGATTATTCTTTAACAAGGTAGGATTGTTTATGGATACCATCTATTTTAAGGCTTTATTTTAATAAATTTTGAAAATATAACTTAAAAATATGAAATTGTAGCTTTAACGGTACTGAACCATTTTCGACTGATATTCCTATTAAAAATTCAACTTTAACAATATTGTAGTTTGCGAGGGATACACAAATTGATCAAATAACTCTGGTGGACTTTAATCGACATATTTCATATTTTGTGAATTTTATTTAAAACCCTGACAATTTTCGTGCTAGGTATGTATGCTCAGAACACGCCATATATATATTTTAAACATACATTATGCAAGAGCTAAATCTGCCTACTACAGGTCTTTCTTTAAGCCTTAAATGTTATTTAAATTATTAATTAGGCATTAATTAACTTACCATTGTTATCCAGCGATATTTAGTGGGTTCGATACGTTTTGTGATGGATGATTTAACGTAAAATGGATAATCGAGATTTTGTTTATTATTGTACCAACGATAGTAATGACTATCGAGGTTAGCCTAAAATTGAATCGCTAATATCTCGGTTCAGAGTGAAGCAATCATACTGAAATTTTCAGCATATTCTGTTTTCATTATCTATTTTTTTAACTATTATAGAACTGTTAGCTCGCTATCTAATCTTACCTAATGTACCTTTAAATGAGTACAGAATCGTAGGACTTTAAATCCTACTTCGTTTCAGTACGACGTACCAGTTCGTAATAAAGTCTATATACAAGCCAGTACAATTTGTCTTCATAGATTAGCTTTTAATCAAACTAATTGTTGAACTCATTAACTTAATATCATCCACAGTCTTCGACACTGCAAACGAGATTTATTGGTCAATCTAAACCATTCATGTAGTTATCTTACCGGGAAAAGATGAGCTTCTGATATCCATTATTTAAGACAAATCGAAAAATTTAAAATTGGCACACGAATCGCGTGCCAGAATGCTTTCGTGCGCCATTTGTAATGATCCGACTCGAAGAACGAGGTTAAACATGCCCTAGAGGAGAATACTACCGGTGTAGGTATACTGGAATACTAGAAAAAACAGACGTCAAACACTGCCATTCAATTTGGACCCTTCGCGTATTTCGCCGAACATATTTGATTAGAAATTACAGGAAAAACAGAAATTCTAAAAACTTTAAGCTCTGGTACTTACAATCTTCTGGAATAATGTCCATTATTTATCCCTCTATGACGTTATTAATTTAGTAGGCAACAAATTTAAGAATTAGAGTTGTCAAACGTTGTACTTGAGATACCGAGATTCAATAAGTTTGTATGGTGTGGTTGGTTATTATAAATAACAATATTGCAGTTTGAAATGTTTTTTTCTTAATAAACAAACATTTTGGTATATAGTTGCATAATAAACAACATTTTTGGTTATATTGTTTCATAATAAACCAAATTTTAGCTAATGGTGTAGTTAATTGTTTTGTGTGACTTATTAAATTTGCTGTGTTTTTTAAGTAACGGTTTTTGTATACTGTACCCCTAAATTCTATTGTTTATCTCATGTTTATGAACGAATTTTGTTTATTTTTAACAGACACGGGTGTATAAATTAAGTCAAAATATAAATACTCTACATGCCAACTCATTCAAATAAATTTCTCTTTTGTTTATATTCCTTGTGTTTTTTTATAATTGGTGAGGGGTAGAGGATGTGGATATCTATTTCTACGTGCTACATCCTGTTTTTAAATGATTACAATTTTGAAGTGCTATTTATGTAATGGTTATATCCACGAGGAGAGTAAAATCTATTTGAGGAAACATGAGCAATAAAGATCCGGTTTATTGAGATTTGGTCATTTTTATATATTTATTGTGCATGTATGCATAATAAACTAGCATTGTATGGCCACTGTATACGGGATCGGGAGTTCAGTCGGTACATTGGGGCCCATGAAACCCCGACGGAGGTGGAGGGCAGGACGGAAATATCCGATGCTCTATTCTTTCTATGCAGGGGTAGGGTTGAAGGGTTAGAAACACTAATTTTGGCATAGTCCTTGGAAAGGTTTGGTAGGAAGAGGCCCAAAATGTGTCTTACTCCTGCATCTGCACCGACTGGGCTAATGAAGACGAGCATGCGCTATACACTGTGATATGAGAGAAAATTTGCACGGACAGCGGCATTACGGCATATTCTTATTACGAATTCCAGCTGTCAAGGATTACGTGCACGCCAATGTGTACACGGGACTTCGGTATTTAGTCCCATCTGAACGAGTATATGCCGCCTATAGATGATGCAAAATGAATATACATGTATTGGAAATTTCATTTAAACTACTTTATTCTGAGCGAAGTAAATTGGACAAGATGTGTGCATTGATTGTTTATTATCTTAACAACGGTACTGGTATATTCGAAACATACACTTGCTCCTCCATGTTTGAATTAAATCATTAAATAGCCGAACCGTTCTAATCTAATTAAAATCTCAAGCATCGAGAGTTGATTACGGTCTTGTCATGTTAATAAATGTCTAATTAATAATTTATATAACATTTAAGGCTTAAAGGAAGACCTACAATAGGCGTATGCCCGTCTTCATTAGCCCAGTTCGGAGCAGAACAGTAGGACGTTAAACCCCATTTCATTTCATTTTCTTGAATAACGTATCTTTAACAGCGGCTTTTTCTGTTTACTCTTCATTGAATTCCAACTACCGGGGGATCTTTCACGTGCACTCCAATATGCACACCAGACATCTGTTCCTAATTGCCAATTCGTCTGTCCTGTACCAACGATAACGGCACGCTGAAAACCCTGATTGAGACCTCCTGGTTAGTGAGCAGCGCCTTATTCATTGAGTCACCGCGGCTCCTCATACAAAAGGGAAAATATTTAACAGCCTTAAGCAGGGCCCGTGAGAGTCGAGGGGGGGGGGGAGGGCTGGTCTACATGCCCAGGGGCCCGGAGGTATGCAGAGTAATGTTTCAATGATTTAGATGAGTTGGTCGTTCTTGCTTTAATAGATCAAAAATAGATAATGCAAAATGAATACATGTATATTGAAAATTTCATTCAAATTACTTTATTCTGAGCAAAGTTATCACTGTTTGTAATTTTGATAAGTTGTGTGTCTTGATTGTGTTTTGACGTAACCATGGTATTGGTTTATTCGAGGCTAAGCCTCACCTTCCCATTTTCAAATCAAATTAATAAAAGGCCGAACCGTTCTAATCTAGTTAAAATCTTGAGTATCCGATGGCATCGAGAGTTTATTATGGTGTTGTCATGTTAATAAATGTCTTATTAATAATTTATATAACATTTAAGGCCCAAAGTAAAATACCTGCAATGGGCAGATTTAGCTCTTGAATAATGCATCTTTAATAAAAAAAAAAAAATACACTGTTACGCTAGTGACGTCAATGGCGACAATGTTTTGTTTGAAGCGAATCTACAATGACAACATTGACCCAAAAGTTAAATATCCGCTGCAACTGTTTGGCGACAAAATATATGCGTTCGATTTTCACTATGCTAGCATAGCTCTCAGAATTTATGCAAATATTCCAGTAACTGTTGCATCCGCTAAGCGATCCTTCAGCAAACTGGTTCACTTAAAGAGCTCCTAATTTTAGCATGTACGTGTAATGTATTTATTTGTTTGTGTTCTATAGAAGGGATATGTTATGAAAATATATATGTCAAATTCGTTTGGCCGTTTAATATGCTCTCAATATTAACTTTTTTTGTTGTTCTGCACATTTGAATTTTAAAACATTTTTTTTAAATTATTAAGAAAAAAGGTAAAGGTGTTGGAAGTAAATCTGAATAAAAAATATTTCCTATTGATGAATGGGTACATAAAATGGTACGCGGGGGTGTAACTAAAATGAGTAAAAGGCGCCAAATCTGCCCCGGTCAATTTGTATTACTAAGTTCGATGTAAACAACACTCGTATTATCAATGCCATATGATGTGACGTCATACGTAGAAATTTGCTGGCGTCTTGTACAGTGTTTAAATAAAGATTTCGCATTACCGCTATAAAACAGTTCGCTTATGGATATTACCGCTATAAAACAGTTCGGTTATGGATATTACCACTATAAAACAGTTCGGTTATGGATATAGGTGCATGTGACTAAAGCTCCATAGATCCAACATGTCTATTTGTCATGGATTCCATTAATACTTACTAGTTGAACATTACTTCAATAGCGGTGGCTCAGTGGGTAAGGCGCTCGTTTACCATACAAGAAATCCCGGGTATACCATACAAGAAATTCCGGGTTCCATCCCGGTGTATTGTCAGTGGCACAGACAGAGCACAACAATGGACAGCGTCTAGTCGTTCGAATACCAAGTATGAGATAAAAATGCGTGATCCGTTATCGAATTCGCTAAATTCCCTAAATAAAACAAAGAAGATATCAGTAAAACGGATCACTTATATAATTGTTTATATATCATTTATTGAAATATTTAACAATACTGTAGTTTTAATTAAATATTATATACGAATTATGACATTATTTTAACAAAAGCTACGCTATATATATAATAAATTGCGAAATAACATTTTATCATCGTATCATCATTGTGACATGTTCAGCATTGTGTCAACTGAAACATGTTTAGCATTGTATCAATTGCGATAAGTTTAGCATTGTATCAATTGTGGTAATATTTCAGACTTTTACAAATGTATATATATTTTTTAACGAAATACTGTTAATATTTGAACATTGATCTTATACACTTCTTATGCTATTGTACACTAATTTTAATATCTTAGCCAAATGTGTTCTGACCTCATGTATAACGAAATACTGTTAATATTTGAAAACAGATCTTATACACGATTCATGCTATTGTACTCTCATTTTAATATTTCTGCCAAATGTGTTCTGATCTCATGTATAATATTTTAAGATATGAAACACTGTTTTAATATTTTACATAGTTATATTTACATTATACACAATGTGGAGAAGTATTAGTTTATATCTAAATGGGTTATAAACAATCTAAAATCTGGAATCCTACAATATATATTGTATATATACATTATTTCGCAATTCGTTTTTTTTTTATATATATACTTTCGAAGTAAAACGAAATTTTGAACCATAACAACGAAATGAAATAGGATATGAATTTGTCAGTGAATTAATGAATTGAAGTTTTTGGTTTGACTAAAAGGGCAATAATAACGAAATTTTGAACCATAACAACGAAATGAAATAGGATATGAATTAGTCCGTGAATTAATGAATTGAAGTTTTTGGTTTGACTAAAAGGGCAATAATAAGAGACACTAGAAAATGATAAATTTAATGTATACATCCCAATTTATCAAAATTCCAAGCCTCGTCCCTCTTAAAGAATCATATTATAGTATACCGGGATGTATGTTGTGCAATTCGTTGAATTCAGATCCTAATCGTTGTATTCTTTCCTATACTGGCGCGTGTATATTTCGGTAGCGAATGTACCTTAATTCCAACACAGTGTCTAATACAAAATGCCAGATCTAACTGGCATTGGGGTTTTCAACGATCTCAGTTTGTCTTTTTGTGTTAAAATACACGAGCTACCCCCCTTTCTATAAATGTACATGTATTGGGTCGTGTGAATGGGAATGGGTAGCGAATTCAACAGCGTCAACAATATCATAGAAAATAAATTCTCTCTTGTAATTGACAAAGAAATCAGATCGTTCTAACGTTTCCAGTGTGTACTTGGGTACCCGAGCTAGCAATATGTCGACACTCACGTGACCAAACTCGGCGACTATCTGCTTCAAAATATTGATACCTGCTATGTCGATGTATGATATCCTGCTACAATCGATAATAAGGAAATGGATTGTCTCTGCTTGATCAACAGAAACAGAGGACGCTTCGTTGTTCTGAGATTCTAATCCACCATTAGCGTTCTTCAAATCTGGTTCGCTGACTGTAACAGAATCGACGAACATTTCTTTTTCAGCTCTGTGGGTCGCAGGATGGAAGACATTCTCGTACAACTGCTTTTTGAATCTTTCGGCATTGGCAAAGAATAATTGAGCATCGAAAGCAAATATTTTTACTCCAGGGACGTCATTGATCGTATTTCGGAATCTCTTGTCTAAATACAAACGTTCTCCGTAAGGTGATCCGACCAAGTATCCAGAACTTAGTTGGTTCTGGATAATCACTGTCAAAATGGATACTCCGATTCCGACAACGATTCCAATGTCCAGATCAACAAACACCGACACTAACAAAGTCAGCAACCAAATCACAAAATCTGGTTTGGAAACTCGCCAAATCTCGGGTAGGTGAGTTACCTGGAGCAAGAGTTCTTTCATGGCAACAACAATCATGGCAGCGAGGACAGCAACGGGTAGTGACACAAAGAGCGGACCAGCGGCTAATAGTACTATCAGAATGAATACCGCAGAAGTTATTCCATTCAACGTAGATTTTGTACCCAATGTGTGGAGAATCATCGTGCGGGGTGGAGCAACACAAGACGGGAAGCACAAGAAGAAGGAACTGACAAAGTTACACATCCCATAAGCTACAAGTTCTTGATTATCATCAACTTCATATTCATTTAGTCTGGCCATTAACTTAGCCATGGCTATGGTTAAAGCAAATGCCAAAATAGCGATCACAAAACTATCCATGCCAACTCGGGGTAGGACTTCAAAGTTGGGTAGTCTTGGTACAGGAATGCCTGTTGGTATACTTCCGACGATTGCTACTCCGAAACGTCCATTTAAATTAGCAAAGTGGGAAATAATTGTCCCAACAACAACAATCAGCAAATCGATAGGAACTGGGAATTTTAGTTTAGCTTTGAATCTTTGGTTGATGCAAATCTTTACTAAAAGCAGAACGATGACGCAAATTACAGCTATAACCAGATCAGCTATGTTTGTTTTGGTTATATTTGTAAATATTTCGATGTAAGTTTTAACGAGTTTCCCAGCTCCTGCATGAGGTAGCACCTTGATGTTCAGCATCTTGCTGACTTGGCTGGTAGCGATGTGTATGGCTGAAGCAGTTGTGAATCCACCGATAAACGAAACGGATAAGTAACTCGTTAGGAATCCCAGACGCATCAATCCCATTGCAAGTAGAATTATCCCCGCTAGAAAGGTTACCGCCATAGCGACTCCAACTTTATATTCGAGAATATCCTGCTCCGTAAGAATATTTACCATGCTACTATTACCTGTAGCACCAGTAGCAGCAAGCGCTCCCGCTTCCCTTTCTACAATCGAAGCAGTTAGAACAGCAAGAACAGCATTAGTCCCAAACGATACATGAGGAGATGTCCCAAAAATCACGTACAACAAAATGGGATAAAAGGTACTGTACAAACCATAAACAGGTTGTAGAGAAGCCAGTAACCCGAATCCAAGTCCTTGTGGAAGATGCATAAATCCTGCAGAAAGACCAGCCAGCACATCTACGAGGATTTTTGTCAACTTGTAATGCCTGAGAACTCCAATTATGGGAAAGTAGTTGAGAAAATGACGACAAATGGATTTTGGTGAACATGAACACGAGCCTTTGATTCTATCCTTGATTCCAATTTCTGGTTCATCTTTCCTGTAAACTCTGTCCAAATCTCTTTGATTATACACCCGCCTTTTAATTTGGACATTGCCACTTCCACTTGCTGACATCTCCATGGTTCCTTTTGCCCCGTAGTGCTGCGACGCTTCGTCGGAAACCTGAAATGGAAATCATTAACCAATCAAATGCAAAACTATTGTCATTTCTGGTGGAAGTATAACTATTGATTCTATGAAGTTATCGAAACTGTCGATTTATTTTTCAACTGTATTATATAATTGCATTTTGGAAAGGGATACCCCGTAGACATTTGAATCTAGTTTGCTTGGATTCGTTTAATTTACAGCTCGCGAACTAGAACCCGGTGTCAAATTGGAACACACGTGAGAGAAATATAGTATGTCAATGGTTTGCTTCTTCGATGTTATTTATTTTTCAGACAATCTTTCCGTTAATTTGAAACTTGGGACTTGGCATATCAGTTACATGACATGTCCAGGAAATTTCGTTTTTTCCTTTGGCCGTTTGGCAGCAGTTAGTGCAGGGGTGGTTCGAACGGTACTTCAAAGGCATTTCTTTGCTGACGAACATTTATAACTTTTATTTATACATTGCTATGAATTAAACTGTAATGTTAAATATTCTACTTTCTGAATACATAAGATCATAATCTCAATGAATTTTATTCAGATTATTCCCTTTATATTCACCGACCTTCGGTTTTAAATAGGTTTATATGAACATATTTAAATGAAAAAGATATCAGTTGTAACCTTCTTTAACAGATATTGTTAAAGGCGTTCAACAAAACTGATCTCAATGCTAATGAATTCACTTCATTTTGCATACGGCACAATGTGGGTTTCATACAGAATGAATGAGTTGGAGCGATCTGTCAAAATGGAACAAGAGAGTTCATAACCCTACCTATTATCATGTGTGATAGTATCTTGGCAAAAATCGAGTCGCAAGTGTTCGATTGAAAGGGTCTTTAATAAAATTGAAAATGCAACGCAACAGTATTCTAGAGCAAATATTATGGTTTCTCTGTTGAATAACTAGTTAATATCGATCGTTATATTTACGTAAAGTTTACGTCATTTTGGTTAGATTTGGGTTGGTGTCCAATAATGGTAAAATTTTATGGTTAAATTTACATTACTTTTATGTCAGAATGGTTACTTTCACGTAAATCAAACGTAAAATTTATGACGGGTTTCTAGTTAATTATTTCGCTTTGAATAGGTCTGGATTAAATCGACATACCAGTGAGTGCACATTCTAACAATTGATAAATATTCAGAATTCAGACATAATAATAACATGTATTATGGTTATAATTCTAACGTTAATCTAACGTAAATTTTACGTCAGGTTTCTAACCGTTAGTTTATGGTTATTAGTTTTCTAACATAAATCTGATATTAGTTTTCTAACGTAACCCCAATGCTAGTTGTGTAGAGTGAAACAAATGTCAGTTTAATGTCATACTAACAATTAAATTACTGTTATTTTTTATCGTTAGTTTTCTAACGTAATACAAATGTTAGATAAATATCAAGATAATAACAATTAAATTACTGTTATTTTTTTTTATCGTTAGTTTTCTAACCATGATCTAAAATTAGTTTTCAAACATACCAGGATTAATCCAATGAATTCATTCCAAAATTCTAAATTTTAGGCATTCTGGAAGGCAACTTGAACAAAATCTGTTAATAATTGCAATCTGTAGAATATTTACAGACAAAAGTGGGCGTGGCACTGCCCCTGTGGGTCAGGGCATACACCAAACTAAATAGTTGTTATCCTTATCGTGTAAGGAATAAATATGCCAAGTTCCAAGATGATCCACAGCCTGAGGACAAAAGACACAAAAACTGGGCGTGACACTGCCTCCGTGGCCAGTTGGACATTGACCAGTATAAATAGGTACAACTCCATGATGGATCATGCCGAAATGGAACAAAATCTGTTAATAATTTCAACCTGTAGAGTATTTACAGACAAAATATTAACAAAAAATGGGTGTGATACCACCCAAGGGGTTAGGATCATGCACCAAAATCAATAACTGCCGTCCTTAGGACACAGAAAAGAAATTGGGCGTGACTCTGGCCTTTGGGCATGCGCCAAAAATAATAGAGGTCATCCTTAGGGTATAGGTAATAAATATGAAAAGTTTTAAAGACGATCCAATAAAGGAGGCAAGCCTCTAACTCAATATCATCCACAGTCTTCGACATTGCAAACAAGACTTATGGATCAATTTAAATCAACATTGATCTTCTGATATCCAATATTTAACACAAAATGACCATTTTAAAATTGGCACACGCATTGTATGCCAGAATGCTTTCGGGTGCCATTTGTAATGAAGCTGATCGATGGCGAGGCTAAAAATATCCCACAGGAGAAAACTACCGGTGTAGACTTGAACAGCCAGATACCAAAGACTATCATTCAATTTGGACTCTTCGCTTAATTCGACAAACATAACTGATTAGAAATTTCAGTAAAAACAGAAAATGTAATTCAGTTTATTTACATTCATATTACATTATTGCATGCATCCGATTTGTGTCCATTTGTCGGTGCCAAAGAAAATATATATAGCTCCTTTAAGAATTGCGGTCTGTAGGCGACACACAGACACACACATAGAAAAAGAAATGAATGAATGACCTACTCTCATTTCGAATTCAAAAAGACTAGACAGTGTCCTTACCCGGCCATCTGTCATACACTAATAACAAGGGTGACTTAATTGACCAACACTGTACAAGAGCTCTTGTATTTGCCCATGAATTTATGAATTTAAACACGCTAATTCATAAGAACCAGGAACTGAAATAGCCTACTGGAATTAGGTAAATTAAATTTTGATTTTATATTTTTGTGTATGAATTCGGTGAATGGAAATGGATGGGTCATAAATGAAATGCCGCACAAAAAAACCCTCTGTGCAGTCCGCAAAAACATTCTCCTTACTATTCTAGACTGTGACTAGAGCAACTTGAAAGTCTTCCAATACATAGTCTTATTTATGTGGTTTTGCTACCGACATCCAATGTGAGAGTCAAAACAAATAATGAAGAAATGTGTCATCAAGAGTCTATATAACCACTGTTTATTACCGGTACACTGATTGTATATGTATTAAGCCTGGTGGACGCTATGCGACGACATGGGTGATTTTGGTCGCCAATGATGAAAAATAAGAAAAATCGCCTAATGTTCTCAAACGGTCTCTAGCTATTTCTCATTGTCAGCGCGCCTGTCCAACCTCGTGGGTTTTCTCCGGGTCCTCCGGTTTCCTCCCACTGCTAAAGACCCCTACGCGCAAGCGAATTATGTAAATAAAATTAAACCATATGTTAGTCCCGAAATGACCTAGTTTGTGTCGAGTGGACGTTAAACCCCATTTCTCTCTCTCTCTCTCATTGTCAGCGACAATTGCAGAGATATGTTTGCTTTAGTTGTCGATTCGTCAGCAACAAGTCGTGTAATGTGCTCACCTCGGTGACAAAATCACGCGACAACCAATGAAATAAAATCATCTATTAAACCAATCATGTTTTTGTTATTTTTATCATGTGAACTAACAACACACACGGTTTCGACGATTTTTTAATGTTAAATGTTGAATTTAAATCATCTGACTTACTGAAATTAAGGCCCTTCCTCCTACACCATTAACTCCGGGATCGGACCCGGACCTCATGGTTTGTTAGCCAGCGCCTTAGACACTGAGCCACTGTCAAAGGAGGTAAACTCCTGAACAGATAATTGTAACTGAATAGCAAAATAATTCCTGCTATTCCAAGTCGTGAGTACGGCAATTTGACCGGATCGGACCCGAAATCATGGTTAAGCCAGCGCTTTAGGTACTGAGCCACTGTCAAAGAGGTAGAGACTCCTGAACGGATGGTTGCAGAACACCGAATATCAAACTAATTCCTGCTATTCCAAGCCATGAGTACAGCAGTTTGAAAGTGGTCCAATATAGCCTCTGTGGATTTGAATCTGAAGTCCAGATATTGGAAGAGGGCAACAATGGAATGTTAAAAAATTCTCGCTTTGTGTCCACGGATCCGCAGTCTTCGGCCACTTTTATTACCGGTAAACTGATTTTAAATGTCTTAAATACTAATCCATGACGGCATGATACTCAGTTTAAAGAAATTACGACTCTGGAAAAACCAACGAAAAATATAATGATCGATTTTAATAAAAGTTTTAAATTTTATGCATCGGTCAATTTTGTGATTTGGATTCCCAGCTTGTCATCAGATCTGTGGATCCTCTGCATGGTTTCCTCCCGCTGCTAAAGATCCCTACGCTAACTGAATAAGAAAAATATGTAAGTCCCAGCCCAAGTTTGTGTCGAGTAGACATTAAACCCCATTTCTCTCTCTTTCAATTTCGATTCCAAACGATTGATGATAAAAATAAAGAATGGTGCAAGAAAGCTGTCACACAATGTTGTGGCTTTAGACATAAAATGTATCGGATTTCGGGCATTTTATTTCGTCAACTAAAGGGTAAAACAAGATTTAAAAATTCCCTCCCTCCAAAATATTATATAATGTTTCTTTATTGCTCATCCCGAAAAATCTTACAACCCATAGGTGATGAGCAGGGCATGTATATACCAACCATGAATTATGTAATGTCTTATAGTTTCTCTACTATAAAGTATTAGTCCGGTCGCCAAACCCAATATTTCGAGTGAACCTGGAAATTTTATACAAAGTTTTTTTTTATGATTGATTTTAGAAGCCTAGGACATGTGTGCACGTAAAATATCACTTGGCATTTGGAATTTAATATAAGAGTAGGCCGTAGGGCCGCTGTCCGGGCAAAACTTCCACTCATAGCAAACTGTATGGCGTAAGCTCATCTTCATTAGCCCAGTAGGGCGCTAAACCCAATTTCATTTTATTTCTTGATTTATCGACCAAGACATTTGACCGGTCAAATAATTCAGTCAATAAATCCAGTAGAATAATCTTTCGGTTATAAACATACATTGTCAGTTTCATCAAAATCGTATAAAAATTGTGACCACTAGAGTGTCCACAACCTTGGAATTATTATGCATATATTTATCAAGTTCAGCATCACAGGAGGCCACCATCGAATAAAGTCCTAGGAA